GGCACGTCCATTTAAATTACGTGTTTTGGAGAGAGAAGCTGGTTTAGTAGTATTTCTACCTGTAAATTTCATGTTAAAAAGATGCCTTTTTTGCTCAGGCGTGTTTTCTATTTAAACGATGCTATCTTTTTTTAACAAATCCATGTCTTTGGAACGGGGAATGTCTACTGGTAAATGAACAGGGCGCCCTGGGAAGGGGAGTTCTTGGTACCATCTGTGTTGGAGATGTCGGAAGGAATCCCTGCTCCTGCTTGTTTTTCAGATTTTACAGAGATGATGAGGGCGCTGGGGTATCCCCGGCTCATATCTATGGAGAGTTTCCGCACCCCAAACTTCATGCTGGTTTCAGAAGTGCTTCTTTGGCTGGTGAAAAGGTTGGTGATTGAGACGAACTTCTGTTTTGGTGTGAAATCAGATTAAGAAGTTTCAAGATGTAATATTTAGTCCTTCTTTGAGATCTGCCCTTCTGAATACCAGACAGAAAATGTAGTTAAGTTTGCAGTTTTTTAGTTTACAACCAAAAAAAAGAATAATTTAATAGCTGAAGTAGAAAATGCAATGTCATTTTACACCTTCTTATTGACAGACTTTGGTTAAATATTTATGAAACTTGAGGTGCTAATCAAATTATATGTAATCTTCCTCCTGCCATGTAACTGAAGAAAGTTTTTTAAGCTACTCATGAGGTAGAACAGTGCAAGTGAAAAATATGACAGTGACCCATTTCATTGCTATTTTTTTTACCTGGCTCCGCAATTTATATCTGTTAAATTTACCCCAGCTGTTAGAAATTTGCTAATTACTGTTGCAACTGTAATAAAATAGGGAAATGACTTACCACTGTTCAAAATTACTTGGATTAAGTTCCTAAATATTCTTTAAAATATTGCTGTTACACTGAGCTCTAAATTACTGGTTGTGTAAAAACATAAATTTGTGTCCTCCCTGGTATGTAACAGTAAAATAACAAACCTAAACATGCCTAAAAGCTTAAACTTTGGCACTGCAAGATTACAGGGACCCTGTGCCAAAGAGTGAAGTGCTTTCCTTTCAGACCAAATAGCCACTGACTGCTGACACCTGATGCTGTCGCGGGTCAGAATTACACTTGTGCAGGCAGAGCTTTTGTGGTTTGTGCGTGAAGCCATTGTGTCTGGATACCCTGGGTCTGCAACAGGAGCTCAAGATCTATTTTTCCAGTCACATACGACCTTGTTTTGTTTGATCTTTGCCTCACAGACGAACCAGTCTCTTTAATATCGCGTGTGTATTTCCTGTCAGAATCTGCGCATGCTTCTTTCTGCAGGTACGACCCTCAGGCTGATATTCCTCCTGATGTGGAGACAGAACAGGACCGGGTTTTCTTCATTAAGGCGGTGGCTGAGTTCATGGTAAGTCTGCCTGAGGAGTCATGCTTAAGCACATTGAGATACTTATTCCAAATTAACTTTAATCCTTTCTTTCTTAACCCTATACAGTTCCTTGTAGCTGGCGGCCGGCTGCGTGTTGTATTCTTGTACTGCATTGTGTGTCTCGTGGTGTTATAAACTCGAACAAACCGGGGTGTGCTCTTGCTGAAGTCACATGGAGTTACCTACATCTCCTTGCACAACTGGGATCTAAACACCTAGTGCTAAACCAGTGTTCATGCTTATCGCTTCGTAGTTACAGGAAGGTAACGGTAGAAGATGTAGCTCATATTAAATGCTTTGAAGCCATTTAAATGAGTTCATAAGAGATCCCATCATATTTTTTGCTAATTTTGGCTGCCTGGTTCTTTTGTGTCCGTGAACAGTCATAACTTCTGATGTTTTCCCTGTGATTCTTTTGTATCCTTGAACAGTCTCTGTTTCCACTGTGATACAGAATCGTAAATTGGTGTTTTGTTATATGAGCCTTCTCATTTACTAGATCAAGGCATGTTTTTTTTTCTCACATTAGGATCTTTTGTCAAGTTATGCATGAGCATACTTGAATTGGGCCATCAACTGTTTTTAGTCTCGTGGAATGAAATACCGTTGTCATTCATATAATTCTTGTTATTTTGATGCATTGTGAGCCTTTGCTGTTATGATGCACCTACATAGCATTCTTAATCGTGTGGAAAAAACTTAGTGGGGCCGCGGGTGGGTCTGGAAGCAATGGAAGTCTTTATGCTAATACCAAAAATTAATTTCTTGTAATACTTTTTTGAATTTAAAAAAGTATATTAAAACGACTTTGTAACCAAGCCAGCTTTTCCCTTCTGATTTGTGATTATGTCCACCATAAATTTTCTTAATTCTGCTACTTTCAGAGCATGATAAATTTCTGTACATATGCTTTTGAGTCATGGGGCATGAAAAGATGTAGTGAGCAGATCTGTTTTGTTTGGGGAGATTTCCCATTTCCAAATCAGGCATGTTTTAAAAGGACAAGTACGAAAGCAGAAGTAATGTTATGCATGCATTTCCCTTTTAATAGCTGATATCGTGTAACAAATCCCAAAGGCTTTGAGGAATTACATAATATGATTGAGAAAATGAAAGGAATGAAAATTTCTTGAATCATGCTGGACTTAGTCTCAGTTAATATTACAAGATAATAAGTAGATTATTGTAGGTTCTCGGCCTTTTCAGAATGAGAAAAGCTTCTAGGCATTTCCTTCATAATTCACTGTCCATGGAATCCACAGTTAGCTTTCCCAGTAGCTAATAGCTTTCTGCATCCGTAGCCAGATGTGAGATTTGATGGGGACAGATTTGTCTCAGAAGAGTGTATTGGGACAGATAAATCATCGTGAACTGTAACAGGAGTATTGCTCACCTTTACTGAATGAGTAGCAAAGATGTCTTAATTTTCTGCAAAATTATGTCATGCTCTGTGTTACTGATGGTTCGAGAACTTACCAAATGTCTCCTTTTTGGACCCAAATGTTCCTGAAGTGTCTTCAGAACTGTCAAATGTGGGGTTTTTTTAATCACTTGCCCACCCAGAACTGCCCTAGTCTGTGTGGCTCAGTACCTGGCTCCTAGTTGAGCCCACTTGGATCCACGCTTGAGGTGGAGCACAGCAAAAAGCCTCGGATGACTTTTATCTCAGAAATATGTTCATGAAGACATACTTAGCAAACCAAACTTTTGCAAAAAAGTAGGCAGGCATGTTCATTTTTTAAAAAGTGAAGGGCGAAGCAATTGATGCAATGGATGCTAATAATCTCCCCGAGTGCTTTCTGGGAAGTATTGGATGTTTAATTTCTGTTTCAGTCTGTGAAGATTTAGAGCTGCTACTTCAGTACCCATGAGACTTTCCTAAGTGTTAAATGAGACAGGGAGATGAGAGCAATCCTCCTTCTGGTCTTCAGTGTAGGTGGGGGTGATTTTTAATGATAACTTTAAAAGTATTTATTTAGTATAAAGTATTTATTTAGATGACTCCCTCAAACTTTCCAAACATGGAGTTATCTTCTTGAGCAAGCAATGCCGTCATGCAAATCTGAAAAAGTATTTTTCATGTTTGAGTCTTTTGCCCCAGATTGAACATGTTGCTCTGTCAGAGCCCTGGGAGGGATGAGTTGCTTCCAGTAACACTGTAATGCCAAAGCTATATTTCCAGTGAATCGTGGAAGGATTCTTTCTGCCATGCGGTATTCCCAAAGGTTGAGTATTTTAAAGCAGTTTCATCTTAAGAAGATACTGAAAAGAAGACATTAAGTCATTCGGATGCTTAGTTTTTGTATTTATAAAAGGTGATCAATTTGTGTTTGCTTGCTTGTTCAGTTGTGCCATCAGGAAGACCGCCTCAAAGTTTTACCTGAAGTTTGGTGTTGGCTCCCTGTGGTTATTCGTTTATAATATAATCTTCTCAGGAACTTCAGAAATGACATTCGTGTCCTTTCTGAGACAGATATGTCATTTCTATTACGCTTTTTTTCTTCCTTTATTATTTTGAAGTATAAAAAGATATAATTTAAAATGTTTTTTTCCTTACTGGTCTGTCTGTACTTTTCAGAGATGGAGGGCAAGGGAATAAAATCACTAAATGTCACAGCAGGGAAAAATTTGAGAGAAACAATAAAATATTCTGAAGGTACTGCTGGAAGCGAAGACAGTTAAATTAGCATAATTGATCTTATTCTTGTAACTCATTAAGGGTGAAATTTACCTCCCTGCAACATCATCACAAGACCTGGGCAGCACTTACATTCCACTTAAACTTAATTTGAATTTAAGTGCTGCATGGAGTTTTTGCTGATCTTCATGCAGGGAAGAATTAATGGATAGTTTGAGTTTTTCCATCCTGGCAATTATCTGCAAATGTTCTGACATGCAGAAAGTGCACATACTTCAGAAAAAATTCTTCTAGAAACATCGATAATATAATTAGACAAACTTGTGTTTCCAAACAGAGAGATCTATTTTGGTAAAGCTGAGCACGGTGGCCCCGAAAAGAGTGAAATGCAAAGAGGTAAATGAAGACTTTGTTCTTTGTGACATGATGAATCCCTTTTCTCTTCCCAAAGGCTACCAAGGCTCACATAAAGCTCAACACCAAGCATCTTTACCAGGCAGACGGCTACGCCGTGAAGGAGCTGCTGAAAGTCACCTCTGTGCTTTATGAGGCTATGAACACCAAGGGAGTGGAATGTGTGGATGTGAGCGAGGAAGACAGCAGCAAGTTCAAGTTTGATCTTGGCTCAAAAGTAAGGGAAACTCGTACTCTAGGTTTGGGCAAGGGGTTTGTGTTATCTTAAGGAAGACGCATCGATGTTCTGTCTGAAATGTCAGTACAGAATGCTCTGGCTGGGGAGTGGGGGTGGTTTTAATTTGTGCTTTATGTAGTTGAGGTTATGTGCTGTGATTTGGTTTATCTCTGTGAATTCTCAACCACAGGAATAATACAAGGCAGCAGTGGCACAGAACTGGTTATCTTTGGGTTGGACTGCTCTTGAAATTGTAGAAGTATTGAAGTAGGCCAGAATAAAGACTATTTTGCAACAGGAGGAGTTTACAAAATAATAGCTGAAATTTGGTTTTTCAGCCCATTTGTGTTGAAGGAAAGGGAAATCTTTGTGTTACCCTAACAGACATCAAAGCTCTTCAAGCCCTTGAAAGAAACCAAACATTAAGAGCAATTTCTGTTACTGCTTTTTGTCAGTTTTAGCACATCGTCTATATTCTAATAGTCTTTTTTTTGTAGTTCTACTCTGTCATGCCTGCTTGTTTGGCAATAATACTACTGTTCTCAAAATAATGGCAGAACCAGAGGTGATTTTTCCTCTATATGGTGTGTCTCTCTGAAGAAAGGACCTGAAGAAATAATGAAAAAACACTTGTAGATAATCCATGTTCATTACGGGCTCATCATTCCATGGTTATTTTTTCCATATTATAGTAAAGTTTTGGACACTGTGCTGCTCTCCTATGTATTTTTAACATCAAAGCAGGAAAAATTGTGCATTTTCTTGTTGACATTGAGCAGTCTCTTTTGCTATTCAGTGCTGTTGCTCTGTTTCCAGATTGCAGACTTGAAGGTAGCTAGACAGCTTGCTTCTGAAATCACCTCCGAAGGAGCAAGACTGTATGATCTACTTGGCAAAGAAGTTGAATTAAGGGTAAGTACGTACTGGAGAGGATATAAGAACTTGTGTTCACTGGGTGCTGCAAAGGAAAAAGATGAAAAAAGTATCAGTAGGTCTTAACAGCTGCATCTGAAATGAATATTCTGTGTTTGAAGGAATAGGGTCTGGAAGCTTGCATTTTCTTCCCACTCATATTCATGCTTGGGTTACTGTAAGCCTGAGAGAACACTTTGGCATTTTCTCTTTAGCAGGAAGCTGAAATACTCTGTAGAACTGTCTGGAAATATTAATTTTATATGTCCATTTTAGCAGTGGGAATAGATGTATTGTGAAAGATAAATGATTAATGCCACGAGTTTACCAAGTGCGAGGCTCATCATTTCTGTTACGGTAATTGAAAGCGTCGCAAGCCTACAGGGCACGGATTCTTCAACCTAGTTGTAAATCACAGGCTGTTGCATGAAGTCACGAAAATGTCCTAAAACACTGCCAATAAGTCTTTCAAGTATTTTCTTAAATGTGTTTATCTGCAATGCTGGAGGTGATTCTTTTTCTGAAAATAGATGTTTAAAGAAGGGAAGCCCTGAATTTTCTAATACTCATTTTGGTAGTCTTGAGATTTGCAGTATCTGAGCTGTAGGAATTGCACCTGGTAAGCACTGTAGGCTCTGTGCCTTGACAATTGATGCTCCCAGATCCATGTTTGATGGAGCACATGTGTTTCAAACGGTAGGTGATGGCCAGGGAACGTTATCGGTGGGACCCTGTCTTTTCTGCTAGGCACCTGGGTCAGCATGGTCTGCAGCAGTGGGAATGCCATTAATATGTCAAAAGGGCGAGAGAAGTGATAAGCTGTTTGATTTCAACATACATGATTGTCCCAAAACTATTAGCCAGTTGCTTCTGATCTTGTGTTCTGCGCTTAGTTTCCTGGCTTTGAAATAGTTTTCACATGAATGCTACCTCATGTGTTAATATTTGCTTCGGAGCATTAAACCCCTCTTTTTTTCCTATGCACAGCATCCTTAAGAACTCTAGTGAGAAGTCAAGTATAGGTTGGCATAAAGCAACATTTTTTAAGAAGTGCTCAGTTATTGATCTGAAATTGGGCGTGGTTTAATCACTTTAAATCAAGGCTTCTAGGAGACCAGCTGACTTTAGAACTGGGCTGTAGAAAAGGGACTTGCACAAGTGCAGAGTGCTGAAAGCATGAAATGAAAAATCGGGAGATGAGTAAGTGCTTCTGTGCAGCCACTTCTCATTGGGCCCATCAAGAAATCTTTTGTGAAAGCTTGTTTAGAGGTGAAACTTCTGAAAGGACAGTGTTTCTTACATACTATAGCGGGAGCGTGCTTGTCATGGTGTAATGATGGAGCATACAAGGTGGAACTAACTAATCCTGTATAGGTGCACAGCTTGGATTTGACAAAAAGGTTTGACAGACTGATGTCTAAAAAAATCCTGTCTTGGGAAAAATGAGCTTTGCTTTGGTCTCATTAGCTCTGAGTTTGTATCCTAAAAGCACCAGGTGACACCGTGGCAGCACGGTGAGAACCTCCGAAAAGGAGCAGAAGAGCCTTTTGTGTTCTGTTCCTTATCATTTGTGACAGTTCCCAGCCTTCTTCGGTGATCTGTCAAACCTGAAGGGCCTGGTTTTGGCTCATGTGGTAAATGCCACGTTTGGTACGTAAGCGTTTTGCATGAGCTTGTGGTAACCCGTTATTCCGTGGAATTTGTCAAGCTTTCCTTTTTTAATTATAAGCACCCAACTCCGCCTTTCACCTGAAGTATGAAATTTGCTTGTCAGGCGAGAGCCAAGTGCTGCTGATCTCTTGGGTCACCGTTGGTTCCGGTAACACCCACGCGAGTCTGTGGAGCTGCGGTTCTTGCTGAGTAGCCAGTGTTGTGGGCGCGGAGCAATCTGCCTTCTGTGGTTCACACATCTTCCCTGGATCCTTCACAGATGAGGTGCTCGGAATATCCCAAGGATGACATCCTCTGCCTGCTCTTCCCACCCGATTCCAGGGGGGCAGAAGTAGCAGAAGTAGAAGGGCAGTTATTTCTGGCTTCATGTGGGGAGTTAGAGCTTTGCCTGTAGACCTTAAATTATTTGCTGTTGATCTAAGGTTACTTTTATTATGTTTTAATGTGAAGATTATTGAGCTGTGTGACATCGAAAGGAAATAGACGATGGAAATAAGTAACACACGCAATAAATTGCACTAGCAAAGGGATTGCACTATTGAAGGGTGGTAGGAGAGCAGTGTGGTTTATTTTTTCATTACATTTTATGTCTTGAAACCTGTCACGTAGACTAAAATGCATTGATGGCTGTGATGCTGTGTTAATGAATTTTCAAACATGGTGGTTTTATGTTCCCTGAAGATCATCTTTTCATTTTCCCCAATCAATTCATTTCCAAATATTTAAATGAAAGATCTTCCTATCCAAACTTAGACAGATGGATGATACATCTTGTTTCTATCCTAAGTGAAGCCTGCTTCTTTTTCTAGTAAGTGTAAAAGAAAAGCCAGTGTTTGCATTGATGAATTGACAAGGTTTGTTCTCATAGTCTGAGCAGCTTTTGAGGAAAAATCATTGGGGAAAAAGTGAAGTAAAGCTCGTTATTTCCTTCAGCAATGTTTATTCCAATTTGTGTCACAACTTCTGCTTTATTTATTGGAGTTCATTTTGCACATAATTCATAGAGAGACTGTGTAGAAAAGCCTTATAAGATAAATTTTATTTTTCCAAGTCATGGAACACATTTTAACATAAATTACGTCCTGAATGAAAACAAATTCCAGCTAGGGGAGAATATATTAAGGGAATGGTTCTACTAGAAGTGTTGTAGATATATTGTGATGTAAATGTGTGTGTACAGAGTTTAAGCCTGTATTTGTTTTCCTGGGAAGGTGTTACTGTGCCTTTCTAATGCCTTTGCAAAGACGTTATTTCCTGACTGCATACATGGTTCCTATGTATATATAAACTGCTTTCAGAGTTAGTCTATAATGTAAAGAAAACACTTGAAGAACAGAGGAAGATAAGAATGCTACAGGTATTCATTTGCTGAATTCAGACTATGATGCTGTTAGGATTTCAAAGGAAAAAGAAATACCAAAAAGCTATACTTTTCTTACCAGATGAAAAATCACAAATGTAATTTTTTTAGTTTAAAAAGGAAATGGGAAACTTTTATTTGGAAAAGAATAGGAAGGCATTTCCTGATTAAGAATCTTAAAACAGTGGGAAGCTTAAATGTGAGGAGAAGCCATTTGGTTCCAGCCCTGTGGACCGATACAGGGATTTCCTTTCCCGCTGCCAGCGGATCCAAACTCAGGCAGTGGGTGGGTTGTGGAGCACCACGAGTGGAGGGGGAGAAGAACAGTTTTCCCAGTCTGTGGAGGATAAATTTCTAACTACAGGGTACTGTCCTGAGTGTTACCGTTACGGATGCACACAGTATGAACTTCTTCCAAAACCGGTGGAAGTCTTTGAGAATCTCTTACTGACTTCAGTTTGTGAAACACCTGAATTAAGCTCTTAGGAGACCCAAAGGCATTTAGATCCAGCCCTGGAACTGAACTGGCATTAGTTACAGCGCAGGGAATTGCCACTGAGGATGCTGAACTTGGATCTCTTTCTTTGCAGGCTTTTAATTAAAGAACCTTCAGCCCTGCCTGCCCCCGCTCACTCCATTGTAGCTCGCTGCCTGCTCGTTCCGTAGAGAGGTAGATCTGATTTGAGCGATGGCGGTGTTATTCAGTACTCTTTGGAAGTTAACTACAAAAAATTATTTAATTTGTAAAATTATTTAATTTGTTTTCAGTCTGCCAAATGTTCGTTCTGGGTACAACATCCTGCCTGGCGGAGACTGATAAACTGATTTCTCTTGTTTCCCGTGCTTCGGTTACAAAGTTGCCACTCATATTATTTCTAGTGAAAATTTGTAACTTGAAATTGCAAGAAGCCTGGAGAATTACTTAGTTTGCTTGTTTTTCTTTTTTCCTTTGCTTCCAGCCAAAACCTAGCCTATCAGTTTGGAGGAGTAGGGCTTACTGCAAAGTGAGAAGCCAAAATTTAACTTTCTGTAGAATGAGTTAAAGGTGAGATTTTTAGGGATATCGGAAGGTAGCAGTGAGCACGTGCGGGGGTTTGTGAGCTGAGTGTGTTTCAGCAGATCGGCTCTTGAACCAGAGGACCAGCAGCCCTGGAGGGTGTGTGGGGAGGGAACAGAGCAGCCTGACTTCGTGCCTGTCAGGAAAGGTTTCAGGTTCCTTTTCTTGCCTCAGCAGTCCATGTGTATGCCAGCATTTGTTAAGGGTTTTTTTCAGTTTGCTGCTTATCTGGCTAGGCAGGCCTTCTGATCCTTTCCGGTCTGCAGAAAAATGACACTTTCCAGTTGGTTCTCTCTCAGATTTTCTTGTGGCACACTTCACACATCGGGATAGCCAGAGGGGTTTGGACGCTGTCTTTGATCGAGGGCTCTGCGTCGCTGAGGAGAGAAATGTCACTGTGAATTCCCTCTGTGGACTGCCGAGACGAGCATACAAGAAAGCAGCATAGCCTGGAAGCAGCAAAATCCTCAATTATGTTCACCTTTAGTCTCTTGAGAAGGGAAATAACTCTGTTAGGAAGTACTAGATGCCTTCAGGAGACTTGGTTTATTTTTCATGTCCCTCCTGCACCTTCCTGTTCATATATAACGATGCCTAATGATCCGTTCCCAACACTGGCCAAATGTGTGTGTTAGTAAAGTCCCTGAATGATAAACTCCTCATAAGAAGAGCTTTATTGCCTGCGTAGAGATGCAGTAGTTGCAAACCCCCAATTTACAGGGAGTAGGGGCTGCAGTGTTTCCTGGACTACAACACTGGCAGTGAGGGGGTAACTTTTCACTACATCAGGATTATGGACTCCTGAAAAATGAGGAAGGATTTAGCCTGCAGTCAAAAAATATTTGGTGCAAGACCAGTATGTTAGACAGAAAACCTTTCATTCTTGGTCCTTATCACACACCAAACACACACACAAAAAGTGATTAGAAACCTCTGTTAGACCTTGAGCACATCAATGTATATGGATATTACACCACATTTGTTGTGAGTGACTTGTTTACATAATTACTTGCCTCGGTTCCTTACTGCAGTTCAGAAGATCTGTGCATCCAGTTCTCCATACGTCAAGTGTGCAGGGACCTGATTTATCAGTTTTTGATGGAAAACCATTACCAGCTGAAAACGCTTCACCAGTTTTATTTGCAGAATGGTTTTTGCAATTATTAACCAAATATAAATCTCCCGAGGAAGAATTCTCAGTTAGGAAAGCGGTGGGGCACATCTGTGGAGATGAGAGCATCCTCCTGCCACGCTTTTTGTGGCTAGGAAGCACGTTTGACTTTCTGTCGGTGACATTCCTGTGTAGCAAGGATGAGTGGGAATTTAGGGTGGCTTTACCGTTCCATGTTAGCGCTGCAGCACCCAGGGAGACAGGGCTGTAATGAAGTCTCAGACGAGATCATGGCCCTCTGCCAGTACTTGGTCTTGAAGCTCAGATGGTACTTAACCACATACCGGTTACCTCTGGAGTGCTTTTGGAGAGTTTTGTCTTCTCAACCATTGTAACTTTTGGTGTAGAATCTTTCTTCTCTAATATTTAGTGTGCAAGTGAGCTGAAATCCAAACTTTCAGGAACTTTCCTCCATTTTCTTATTTTTGTGTTGGCGATGAGTCACTTTTTTTCCATTCAGGAAGATGACAAAGCTGTACTGTACTTTTTTTAACCCTGCGATACAGGTGCAATACAGGCATCTTGTCTCAGCTCGGGTGTCTGAGGGTATTTGGGACATTGAAAGAGGCCTGACAATAAAATATGGACTTCTGACTTCTCCACTAGAAGGCGATTGCTGCAGCAAATAGCCAGAGCCCCAGGTCACTGCCTCCTCCAGCAGAGCGGCTGCTGATGTGATTCCTGCAGACAGAGCCTCACGCTTCTGCTCTCACCATCCCCTGTGGCCTCCTCCCTCGCTGATGTTTCACCCCCAGGGACTATCGCTCAGCTGGGATGCAGATTTGAGACAAGTAAATCCTTTAGACGGACAGAGTTTTGAAGGTGTTAAGGTTAATGTTATTTCCTGAAATGGCTGCAGTACTGTTTTGCTTTAAGGAAGTTTGTCTTGGCTTTTGATGCCAAAACTGGTGAACTGCCTTCGCTGTTGGCTGCCTGTGTCCTGTGGGGAATGTCCTGTCAGACTGGGCTCGTTTCTGCGTGATTGGGCAGGCAGCTAGCCTTCGATTAGAAATCTTGCTTACTTTGTAACACGGTTCTCATTCCTGAAGGAAACAAAGTTTTCAAGTCTAAAATCAACTGATTAGTGCTTCCAATTGGCATTGTGCAAAGTGAGATTCAAAACCTGAAGAATTAAAGTCTCAGCCCTTCTGTGTGGCACCAAATCTTAGTCCAACCAGGGAGGATAAGCAATGCCAGCAAAGAGTGTCTCTGGTGTGCCTTTGTGTGTTTTCTTTAGTAATTGTCAGCTTTAGTTCATCAAAACTAATTTTACACTTGGCTTCCCTGGGTTTTAATTACTGTTTATCATGTAAAACTATAGCCAGGGAGCTCATGGACACTTTGAACTGAAAGCAGGTAAACAATCAGCTTGTTCATCGATACTTCTCTGGTTTTGCATATGCTTGTTTTCTCAAGTTGTAATTGCCCAAGCATAGTCCTAAATTGTTGCGCTTCTTAATTCCTCTTGCCTTGACAATTTTTTCTATATTTTCATCTCTCCTGAGAACTCGGTTTTTAATAGTTAATTTATAGGAATCCTCCTGTGTGTTATAATGTCTGTTCTGATTAGTACACCTAATTGCAAAGAGTACATTACTTTAAAAGAAAATGAACGAGGTTGTATTTTTCAGCTCAGTTTTATTTGTGTGCTTTTTCTGAGTACAAGGAATTGTGAGTACAGCAAGTGGCAATATAGTACCTGGTATTTGGAGAAATCTAGAAAATTGATTTTACTGTCAAGTATGCGGCTGATTTGTATCTGCAGATTTAAGCACAAAGAGAAGAGCCTTTGTGTAAAGCTGGGTCTCAAAAATCTCGGTCGTCGTGTTCCTATTTTATATTGGGTAAGAAATACTAGTGAGGAGGAATTAGACTGGAGGAAAAATGTGCTTTAGTTGCTCGTGTGGGGAGTCAGAGATAGTCAAAGTGGTTTTGTTCAGTTCGTCTTTCTGTTGCTAATGGACTAGCAATGTCTAAATTGACCAGCTCTGGGATTTTGACATAAATGTTTTACTAAATGTTTTTGTGATCTTTGTGGGGTATTTATTTTTCTAAGGTCATCTGCTTTCCATTTAGTCCTATTCTGTGTGGCCAGTTGCAGGGTCTTTGCTGAAAAGAGATATTAAAAGTAAGTCTTCTCCTTGAGAGTTTTCATAGGGTGACAAGGGATGATCCAGTGATGGATACCCAGGCAAGTGATTACAAACATTAAAAGTTTGTCAGCACTTTTGATGGCCTCAACATGTATTTATTTTTCAAATATTTCCATTATATGTTAATATAATGGCTCACTGTGATGGAAGTGGTACTGTTTCACTTGGATTCTCTTCTCGGTCTGTTGGGTTCTGAGAAGGTTAATTTCCCTGACCTTCTCCTTTTCCAGTTTAGCCCTGCCTCAGCAGTCTGAAAATACAAATTTCTGCTTTTACACTACTCTTCACTGCTCTGATGTTTTTCCAAGCAGGGGTGGCTGTAGGACTTAATCTTGTTCTAGAAAATGATGTGGATTTCTGCATGAAGAGAATTCACGTGTTCTGTACGTGAAACTTCCATGGGTAGTAGAGGGAGGGTAGAAGAAGCGACGTTAAGCTCATGTAAATTATTCCAACTTAAAAGGGCAGATCCTTCAACATTTCTGATCCCCATCAGTTACCCTGGACCAACACTCACGGTGGAGACTTGTGCCGTGTTCTGCGGGTGTTTTACCAGGCCACTGGAAGGAAATTGGTTAAAGGGGTTGTTAGTTATTAAAAATGAAGGTCCTTGCTGTTTCTTTTATCTCTTTTGAAAGTGGGAAGGAAAATAATTTCCTTCCCCCTGCTGAGTGATAAACTATTTTGATCGAAACGTGGTTGCTCTGTAGCCGAGAGCTCGCTCTTGCAGTCCAGAGAGCAGAGTACAGGCGGTGCCTTAGCCGGGCTGATCCTGGCTGCTCTTGCAGTTCAGGTAAAGTCCTCAAAAACCAAGAGGTGTTTGGTTGATCACGTTAAATGCATGATGCTCTCAGAATAGCAACAGAGCTACGTTGTTCTTGGCCAGTCTTCCTCCAAGAGTGTCTGCCTGTGGAGTTATTTGGGAATATGTGTCGTGCAGACTCTTTGTATCTTGTTTTTGTCAAAATTGGGCTTCTGCTGCTTGGTGCTCCTGGTTCGGTGTCACCAGAGGAGTGTTCACAAGCACTTGGAGCAGTGTAAGCTGTTGCTGCCACCGACAGGTGTAGCTCCTGTAGCTATCCCCAACACAGTGCATCTTCTGGTTTTTGTGGCATGCAGCATGTGGCAGGCTCGTGCAGGGAACTGATGCGGCAGAGGAGTAATCTCGGCACAAAAAGCTGCATTTTGGGGGCTGGATGACTGTCCTGGTTGTTTTCACCGTGCAACTCCCTGAACTTGAGTTGATGAGGAGGAGCTAGGCTGCCTGTGCTATTACTCACCTTTGCAATCTGGAGTGTCTGGCAGGGTTACTTAATGAAGTAATTGTGTCTGTTTCCAGAATTTGTCTTGTAGTAGGCTGGGCACAGCCTGTTGCAGTGCATACAGAGCATTTTTAGATTCTTAGATATTCTCTAGAGAGATGCTGTTTTCCTCTTTATCCACCTGTTACCACATGGTTTGCCAACATGAGGTATTTTTAAGGACATTTAGCTGCTTCTCCTCCCAGAAGCAAACAAGGAATCCCGTGTTTTTGTACAATGACCAGGGCAGTGGCGTGAGATATCAGACACGTGCAGGCTGAACACCCCCTGAGCCCGTCTGTCCCCTAAAACTGCTCAGAGTGGAAGATGTTTTTTTTCGTCCTTTAAGATCTAAACCATAATCACTATTTGGGCTTGATTTTGAGGAATCTGGAACAACTTGTGAGAATCAGAGGAATCCATATATCTACATTGTCCCATGTTCCTGTGGGCATAGGAGTCCTGCTGACTGCGGCAGCCGCCTGGCAGCATTCGAAGCATTCACAGCGCTTGTTACTTCGCAGTTTTTGTGACGCCATACTCGTCTACCTACGCTGTTGTTTTCATGACTCATGTTGTAAAGATTTTGAAACCTTCTGTGCTACATTGCATACCTTGCTCAACATGTAACAACCAGTACAGTTTCCAAAAATCTGCATTCGAGAATGCTTGTAGTTCAGACAGTAGCACTTCCCTTGTTTTCAAAAGATGCCTTAATTGCTCAGTGTTAACCTCAGCCTCACCCTGACTTTTTCATTGTCTCCTGTTCTTTAAATCATCTGAGCCTTGGTGAATAAATGCTAAATTCAACTCCATTTGTTAAGCAGACAATTATATCATTGTTGCTCGGCCACTCTCAGTTCTGTGTCTATTAGTTCTTTTGTGTAGTGTTTAAATGTATTGGTGTAATTTTATTTCTTAGGAAGCAAGAACAGAATCTATTGCCAGACCGTTGGAGATAAATGAGGCTGAGAAGGCGATGAAAACTGCCATTGACTGTGTTCTGGTAAGCAAAATTATATTTATTGGATGGAAGAATTATCGTTCCTTTCCTGTAAGAAGAACAAAACTCTTTTTTAACAACATCCTAGGGTTAGGAGTGCCAGAGCACACCGCACCTTCAGCTGGTTGGACCAAGTAGGGCTGCACCTGGTCAATTAGTAGCTAATGTTGAACTTTAGTTAACAGCTAATGCTGACTTCGGTCTTTAGGTAGCACCAGATGCGTGAATAGAAGTTCTTGAAGGCAGAGATGAGTCTGCGATGAGTCCTTGTGTCGTGGTAACAAATATGGTCCCTGATGAGCCCTGTGGTTTTTCTGGGAAACTTGTGTTTGAAGTGAGCAAGCGTGGTAACTGAAGCGGATAGCTTCCCTGGCACAGTGAGTTGTCAGCACAGTGGTGGTTGTGAGCTGGCAGTTGGAAATCACAGCCTGCAGCAGAAAAGGTAAAGGATTCTAGTAGCAGCACCTAGGAGAATGCGTTAAGGTCCGCTCTGCTGCCACTGTCGCACTGTGTAACTGGTGGCTCAACGTGCAGAGGCATTCCTCCAGCTGATGCGTCAAAGAACTGCACTTGGCTTTCCTTGGCCTCTCTCTCTTGGGAGAAAACACATCTTGGTCATATTCTCTGCTTTGGTTAGGAGCTCAGTAGTAATCCCAGAAGTTCTACAGGAGGGATAAAAATTCCATAAATCAACACAGAAGTCTACGTCCCACCTACCCTAAGCCGTGTAAACTTTGCAGAGTCAGGGCTGCAAGGGGTGTACTTGATAACTCGCAATGCCCTGGTACCGCTGGAGTTGTGGTGTTGGGTTCTGGAGGGGTATTGGAGCTGGCCAAGGGGTGAGAAGAACCAGCACTGTGGTGACCAGTGCTGTGCCAGCACCTCGTTGTGGTTCTCATTCTGGAGGACCTTTTGTCTGTCCCAGCCTTGGCAACACTGTCCTTGTTCCCGAGCTTGGATTCCCATATTTCTGAACAGTTACCTGCCACTGTGTGAGTGTGCTGGTTAGTTAAATCCTAGTGATCACTCTAAGTTATTTAACTCTAAACTGTACCCAGTCCGATTGTCTAATTACAAGGAGTGAAGTTCTGGATTTAAACAGCCAAGGTATAATCAATAGATGCTCCAGGTGCTCTTTCCTCACATTTCTGCTCCTACTCGCAGTTTAGATGAATTCTAAATGTCGTTAACGTGCTTTGCTGTTCTACACAGCTGTGCAGAGAAGAGCAGTTGGCTTCTTGGGAGGCAGCAATGACACCTGAGCATGAGTGCGTTGAATGAATTTGATTCATTTTATGTAGCTGAAATATTCCCACTTCCCCCAGCTGGTTCCTGTAGCATATGTTGTGATGTTTGGGATGCTTCCCAGATTTTGAAAAGATGGGATAAAGCAAAACTTAGAAAAGGATGAAGGTATTTGGATAGAGTAAGTTCTTTATAAAAATGATGTTTATATTGAAGAGAAGGAAAAGATGGAAGCTGAAAGTTCCCTAAAACAATACCAAGAATTTCTTATCTGCGTTTTTCAGATACTTACATATTAAGAGATGTCCTTATGTGTCCTGTCAGATTTTTTTTGAGGAAGCATCTTCCTATACTTTAGAGCTTTTTCAGTGAGGAGGAGAACTGAAGTTAAAGTCCAGGGCAAGCTGTGGTTGCTTTTTTTTTCTTTAAGAATGTCTGGGGGAAAAAAAAATCAAGTATTTTAAACTTGCAAGTGTCCAATTAGTTCACTATCCTGGTCCAACAGAACTTTTTAATTTTCATTACTGAGCCAGTTTGTTTTCTAGCTCATTGTGATAATATTATTTGGTAAAATGAGATGTGAGATTATACAGAAGAACATTCAGCATCTGAAAGATAATTCTAATTATCCCAGTGGAAGCTGTGGTTCACCATCCTTTTCTTTTAGGAAGAAGTCCAAAAGACTGAAGACATGTTGAATAATGTGGCTTTGGATGAAGCTAGTTTGGACGCCAAGATTGAAAAGCGAAAATTGGAACTAGAAAGAACCCAGAAGAGGCTACAAACTCTACAAAGTGTTCGGTAAGGGTTATGAACTGATTATCCACTGCCTAAATGAGTGTGAGCACAAATGACAGAACTGTGCATTGTTAACGCTTAGAGCAGCAGCGAGGAGTGAAGTCTGTGATGAGACCGAGATGACGGCCTGTGCAAGAGAGATTCTCTTCTCTAGAAAGGCCCAGTCTGGATTGTAATTGCTCATTTTTCTGCTACCAGGTGTTTGAAATCTGAATTTCAGGGCTGTTTTAAGTGGCTGAAATATTATTTGTTGGGATTGCTTAACTGCTGCTTGAGCTCAACAGAATGGTTAGGTAGTGTGTCTTTTCCTTCTTCATGAAACATAGATTGTGCCGGGTAGTTCTCCTGAAAATAGCAACTAGGGTAAACCTTCCCTCTGTTCTCAGAGGCTTCTAGTGTTCTTATTCAGCAATAAAAAAAAGTTCATTATGCATCCCTTGTTAGGATCAGTTCCTCCAGGCAGTGATACAGCTTGACATGAAATCGAGTTGTTCAGTTTCACAGTTTGGGTTGATTTCTTGCCCTTAGTTAAACTGTAGGTTTATACATCATGCTCTGTTTTTGATCTAATATTGGAAACAAAAAAGAAAAAATTAGAAGAATGAGTGGTCGAAGGAATGATGTTGATTCATGTCCACATTGTGATCAGTAGCGCTTTGACAGAAGTATGCTGAGTAGGTGTGAAGCATCGAACAGTCGTTGTGCTCTCTGAGGTGCAGCCATTAGCTCTGGTGTAAGGACATCATTACTGGTGTCGAGTCTTGTTACGCTTGTAATGACACAGCACAGCTTTGTAGCAAATGCGTCTCCAGCAAAGGAGGTGATTTACCAGCCGTGCTACAAGCTAGGTTTTTGGAGTTGTGCAACAGCAGGATAATTAACTCAGATTTGCTTGCTGAAGATGCCAAAACGCTGCCTTTGTGCCTGTTCAAAAGGAAATGGTAATGGCTACACGATAACCTTTCCTTTGGTTCATGTACTTTTTGCAGGATAGTTTAGTGAGGAGGCTTGTCATATGCTTTTAGTTTCTAAAGTAGTGTGGAAGCTTAAAAGCGAAGGGTCCTTCTGGATTGATTTAGTAAATGTGGAAAGGAAGCTGCAAAACCCTAAAATGCTTATTTTTGAATTCTGCATATGCAGGTCAATATTTCACTGAGTAGTTTGTGCTTGTTCTCTTCAGTCCGGCTTTTATGGACGAGTACGAGAAGATCGAGGAGCAACTACAGAAACAATACAGTAGTTATGTAGAAAAATTCCATAATCTGACCTACCTGGAGCAGCTCCTGGATGATCATCGACGGGCAGAGCAAAAGATGTTTGAGGTAAGGCATCTTAGAACCACTCAGCAACGCTGTATGTCCTGTAGTTCTTGGCCTTCTAACAGAAAATGTTTTAATTTGTGTTTCTAGTTGAAGAGCCAGCCCTGAGTGACTGGCAGTTTACTGATAGCCCAGTAAGTGTGACTGCTCTTGGGCAAGTGTGATAATACAGCTTTGAGTTTTGAGTTAGTGACGTTAAACCAGTGTAGTGATGCCCCTTTCCAGTCTGTGACTCCCCCTGACTTGTTTTCAGTGGATGTTTTTTGTTCGTGAAGAATGGATTCAGCATTTCTAATCTTCCTTTTGCCACATACAGTGTGTGTGCTGAGAGATATTAGGCACTTATTTTTACAGTCTGCCAGCAAGTGATGTATGAGGGTTTCTCAGCACAAGGCAATCTCCTCATGGCAAAAAGGAAGCCTCAGCTTAGCTTCTGGTCTTCATTGAATGGTCTCTCCTTGAACCTAACACCGGTGGCTGTGCTATACCTTGAGTGAAGCAGTGCTTCCTCTTTCTGCTTCGTCCTACCTTCCACATGCAGATCACATTTTATTTTGTCAACACAGCTTACTCTCGCACCTGGCAGAAGTGCAGCAGAGCTGTGCATAATGTTCCTTCTCTCTGGTTACAACTGCCTGTTTTGCTTTTGCCATGACACTTTGTGTGTCTACTGGTGTGAAAACAAAGTAGTTTGGCCCCAAGTTTTTTAGTCTTCTCCTTTAAAGTATTCATACCCATGTTTAATTATAGAGAAATTTTGGGAGCTGTGCTTACGCTGCAAATAAGGCTCAGTATGTTCCTAGTTCCCCCTCTCATATAATTGGTCTCTCTTGCTTCTGAGACATCCTTTTAGAAAGCCTTGTCATTCTATAGGGCTGATTGTTCCAAGAAAAACCTCCTCTTTGATGATGGCCTGTGCTCTGTTCCTGCCTGTCTTGGCTGCACTGTGCGATGTACCGGGGGCTTCATAACCAGGCTTCAGGCCATTCTGCACTCTGGAGGAAATACTGTTTTTATTACCACTATCTCTGTAGATGTTATTTCATCTACTTCTAATCTCTAGCCAGTTTGATATTTTCACATATCTTGTTTTATGATGTTCTAGTTCTTCTCCATATCTTTGGCCAAAGAAAAGAAGTCCTCAATTGAATCATAATCTTGAAATGAAGCCTAAAATCCGATTTATTTTTTTTTCCCTTCTGTTCAAATGCCATTGAGATTTAATACCAAAAGCAGAAGTGTTTGAACTGAGCTACCTGGAGCTGTTTATAAATTCATGCACAGAAGTTAGTAATGAGTTGGCTTACAGCGCTTCAGGGGGTTTTTGTTAAAAGATAATAAGATGAAGAAAAAGCATTCGTCATTCGGGACTGTGCCCGTGCTTAGAATATGGAGAGCTCTTTTTATTTTCCTTTTTCTCCTTCTTTCTGTGAGACACCTAGAAGACTACCCACGTGGTTTAGCCTTTCATTTACTAAGATAAGCAGGAAACAATGCTTCAGCATTGTGCTGAGTTCAAGAATGTAAAAGCTTTTGACAAAAAGATGTGGTTGGTCTCTGCACAATTCTATCACTTGTTACATGCGGTGTGCATTAGCGGCCCTCGGAACTGGAATCTTTTTTAAGATATGATTTATGCTAAAAGCAAAATGCAACCGGGTCTTCTGCATTTGGAATGTGCTGTTTCCGTGTCGGGTGGTCTGTACTTGGGTGTCGCTATCGCCTCAAGGGATCAAATCACTTGGGCTGAACCCTCTATCTATTTAATACAAGGTACCCTGAGACGTCTCATTTTGCTTCCTGTGTTTTCACTAGGGACTGTTTGGGAATACCAGTAATCAAAAGGGGAAAGAAAGGCACGCTTGGCAGTTGTTCTTTAGAACGGAAGAGAGCAGCGTGGCGATCAAGAACAGTAAATTGTAGAATATTTAAAGGAGGAGGCTGTGGCCATCTCTTGGTGGGCAGCAGTGCGGTGACTCAGGGAGCCGTGGCTGCCTGGTTGTAGAAGCTGAAACTGTACATGGATGTCTTTTACAGACAGATTTTCAGGAGTGCTGGTGTCCAAACTATTTATTTTAAGTCATCATGAGATGTCAGCTCTGAAAATCAGGGTTCAAGACATGGTAACTAAAAGATGAAGAATCTGATCACCAACTAATTCATGAGACTTATGGTGTGCTCCTATTTCCAAACCAGCGTGGGGACTTGTTTGTTGTGTTTTTTTGTTTTGTTTTGTTTAAAAAACATAGTGCTCTATTTAATTCATTTCAGATTAGTCTCTTGCTAACCTGGAACATCAGGGCATTTCTCTTGCCTCTATCAGTCTTGATCTGCTTTTCACCTTTGGTTACTTATTGGTGAAGCCAATCTGTGGGTGACTTATTACATGCTTGAAAAAAAACAAGCAGTTTGCTCCAAACTGATGATGTATCTTGTCCTAAAGTTCATCATCTCTGTCATTTTCAGAATCAACAGAGAAAAAGTAACTGGGATAATTGCATTTAATCCATTTTAATACTCTCTCCAACTGTCAAAAAGCACTGAAAATTATGTTGATCTTTTTTCCCCAACTCTGACTTGTCTTTTGTTCCACCAAACGAATCTTAATTATCTTCTGTAATAGAAGTGAGAGTCAATTCTTTTATCATCACTGTATATTTTGTTAAATAGCTTGCCAGAAAAAAAGCAGCAGCAATGTAATTAGTTTAATCCAGCACTCCGTGTGCAGTTCAGTACTGAGGACTGATTCTTGGCTCCCTTTCCTTGACTAGGTATGTGTGTTTTAGGAGAAATTTTTGTTCCGATTGAGAGACCATTGCTGAAGAACGAGACTAATCTCCAGTGCATTTAGGCTTGAAGCTGTTTCGGTACCCTGCTGACGTTGTGCAGCTAATGACCTGGGCTGGAGAGCGTTTCCTAATTAGAAAAGTGATTTAAAGATTGTACCCAAGCACACAGTTTTAATTAAGTGACATTGAGCAGTTGGTGCACTCCAGGCTGCAGTGCTGGTCGTTTGTGTGAGGTTTTTTTGGATGCTTCTTTCATGTGGTAGGTGTGCAGTTGCTCTTGTAGCTCCTGTTGTTGTCTTGAGCTTCCCATTCCTTCTGCCTCCCAGTGCCCGTAATAATGCGAAGCGATGAGGGGAGAGCAATCGGCAGGAGTCTCCTGCCGGGCACTGGCCTGAGAAATCTTTGCATTAAAAGGAACCGAAAGCTTTGGCGTCGAGTCTGAACCCAGTGAAGCGCCAGAACTGAGCAGTTAATCGGTGCTGAAATGACCGCCTGCAGAGGACCTGCCTGCTTGAGGCGGAAACCCTTGGAGATGTGTGAAGAATAGGGAATTATTTGTCTGTCATCATCTCTCATCTGGGGAGATGTCAGAAGTTCTCACATGACTCCTCCTTTGAGTCTCATGCTTATTGACAAACTGTCATGGGCTGCTTATTTTTGGATCCAGGGAATTTAAGTTAAGGGTCTTTTGTCTTTGCAGTTTCCTTCACCTTTTTTTCTCAGCCACCTCTTTTACTCTCTTTCTGTTCTCTTGGGCTGATCGTGAAATTAATCCATCTTCTTGCAAGGGCTTATGTGCCATGTCTCCTCAAAGATTCATTCTTATTTTTCTACTTGGTAAAAAGATTCGGCACACTTTGTTAATTTTAATCCTGTTTTTCAGATAAAATTTTTCTGATGATTAGACACTAAAGCTGTTAGAAATTTGGCTGCTCTAAAAATCAAAGTTTCAGGGGGTTTCAGAGTTGGGAGTTGAAATTTTCTATGGACTGTAAATGAACGTCTCTCTTATAAAAGACAACGTAGACTAATATGGTTCAAAACGGTGGTTTTGAAGCTAACTTGTGTAATGACAGAAGAACTTGGCAATATCCTTTAGCATTTGCCTTTTCTCTGGGCAGAATATGCTACACTTCAATATGAAGCCCCTGCAGAGGTTTTTTCTAGTTCTTTCTTGCTGCTGTTGTAAAACTGTGCTAATCCTGTAATATATGAAATGGGCTGCAGTTGGGGGAGGAACACAAGGAGAGTATCTACCAAGTTTGGGAGTGTACTAAGTCCAGGTGAGTTTCTCTGTTGTGCCAGCGAATCCTGTGAAGCGTGAGACGTAATGGCTCTCAGTGAGGGTGTAGCTTGGAAATCCATGAATGATTTTCATGACCAGAAATCAGATGCTGTCTGATCTCTAATACCTTTCATTCTTAGGTTGTCTCACTGGATTTCTTCTGCAGTGACTCCACTGGAGAAGAAACATTGCATGAAAACAGTCTGTACTTAGTGCATTCTGCATGCACTGCCTTTAGGTTTTAAGTATTCTCTCTATCTCATTTTATGTGGTAAGAAGATAGAATAAGTGCTTGGTTCATATTATGGTCTTCCTGCATTATGCTATTTAACATCCACAAGTGTTCACACTCCAGGTGTGTGAATTATGTAACAGAAATTTCATTTGAAACTCGCTCAAAATAGGGGACAGCTGGATCGCTTGATGCAACACTTGATCAGGCAGGTAATTTTTCTTTTACCAGAGATCAACACGTAAAAATCTTTGCGAGAAACCTTTAAATAATTGATTAAAAACCAAGGAGCTCGTTGAAAGACGAAGTTACTCTTCCTTTGGGACTGATGTTTTGCAAGTGATTTGCACCAAATGACTGAAGTAGGTGATGTTAAAATGATATATGTGAAATTTAGGAGGTTTAATGCTGTGCTGCTGGTACTGAACACCAGAGAAAAGTGGCTCTGAGACGTTTTGCCTTGCACAAACATGTGCAATCCCCTAATGTGCAAAATAGTAAGGTTTGAGTTTTTAAATGTTGAGTAGTAAAATAATTCCCAATTTTCCACCTGTGTAGAAACTAATTTCTAGTTCAATTCTATGAAAGATATGAAAATCAAACACTATGCACATATGAACTGTAGACCTCTCAGGTAGGTGTCCTGGCAGAACCCTTGGCTGACACGCACCCAGCACACAGGCTGAGAGTGTGAGCG